CAGCATCCAAATTGGGGCAGCTCACAACAGCCTGCAACTCCGGCTCTAGGGGGATATGACGCCCTCTTCTGGCCTCTGCGGATACTGCACTTGTGCGCCCCACATATAGTTACAATTAAAAATAAAATATTAATAATTAAATAAAGTCTTGCTCTCTCCTCCTTATTCACTCCCCCCGCACCCCCCCATCACTGGTCTCCCAGTGTTGTTATGTTTTCCTTTTCTTTCCTACCTGGCACTGTGACTCCAGGACCATCTTTCCAAAAAATAACATGACTGTCAGAACCATGATTGAGCTGTTGAGGGTCATTCCATATTCAAGTCATGATAGCTCGCAAGGGCCCAGAAGGTGAGAGGCGATTCCTCTGCACACACCAGCCACACGGCTGGCTTCTCAGTCTCTCGCCCTCGGCTCTCCGGCTTACATCTGGGATGTCCCCTGAATTCATTCCATTTCCATCACTGGGATACGATTCCTGAAAGAAATATCTAAATAGAAAAAGGATTTTTGCCTTGTGGCTGGAGAGGTTAATGTTCACCATGGTGATGAACGCATGGTAGTTGGGGTAGCTGGAACACAGATGGCCAAGCTAGAAGTCGCAAAGCCCATGCCCTGGTGACTCACCTCCCCCTGCCAGGCTCTACCTCCTAAAGGTTCCCTAGCCCCCACAACAGCACTACCAGCTGGGAACCAAGTGTTCACACAGCGATTTTCTAGGGGACATTTCCTACCCAAACCACCATATCATCCAGAGGGCCACATGCCAAAGACTTGGCTGCCAGCCTGTAGAGCTCCTGGAGGTGGCAGAACCCTAAGGAGGTGGGGCCAACTCGGGAAGAAGTTATGCCGCTGAGGTCATGCATGCCCCCTAAGAGGTGGTAGTGGGATTCTGGCTCCCTCCTCTTCTGCTTCTGGGCTACGGTGGAGTGGTTTGTGTACGTGTGCTTTGCTGTGACCTACGGGAGCCAAGCAACCGTGGCCGAATCTCCTAGATGAACCAAAGCATGGCTTCCCTCGTGAGAGGTAATCCCACGTTCTATTCAGAAAGCGTATTGAAACATACGCGATCCCAGGGACCATCTGGGATCCCCGCACTGTACTCCGCTGAAGCTCGTCTTGGACCTAAGGATCAGAGACACACGACGGACACTCATGTGCAGGATAGGCGTATAAACGTGTTTACTCCAACTCTAACGTTTACAAGGGAGCTAGGCGGAAGGTCACCATATACACATTGCCAACTCCGTGCCTCCCGTTTGTCTTACTGACTGGGTTCACCGCTGCCGCCAGAAGGCTATCCTGATACCAGCAGGATGCAGAAGGAGATGGGTGACCGCAGGAACAAGTCCACTGGGAGGGACAGGACAGGGGCCCGTCAGCAGAACGCCAGGGGCCAGAGTGGGCTCCGAGCTGGTGCGAGCGCATCTCATGCTGCACGTGGTGCCTGCTGCAGCTCCAGAGGCTCCCGAGTCACCTGGTGACACATGGTGGCGGTGATCGCCACAGCACAGGTCACTCAACAAGATCACGTGATTGCGGTCGCCCAGCTCATTGCTGTAGCGCTGTGTCCCTGTCCAGAATGGACAGACTGAGTATGTGACCCACTCGGTCACGAAGGCAAAGTTTGCCCCAGGCATGCCACCATGCTCAGCCAGAGCTGAGATCCCAGAAAAGGTTGCCTGTGCCAATGTGGCCATTGCGGCAGGTGCCAGGCCACAGGGACTGATTTGCAAAGTAGTGAGGTTTTGTGTCAACCTCCACCCGTTGGGCCATCTGCGATGAGGTTGGGATGGGCTGCGTCAGCTCCATTGCTTCCTCTTCCTCTTCCTCTGCCTCAGGACTTCTCATGTCTTCCCCAGAATAGAAGATCTGCAGATTCAGACACACGGGAGAATGAAGTGAGGCCCTCCCAGTGTCCACCATAGGGCACCTTTCTCAGCACAGCAGAGGTAGCCAGAGAGGGCGTGGCAGATGCTTCTCTTTGACTTCCAACGGGCTGTGTGAACAAGCTGAACAAGCTGGCGACAGTGTGGATGGGGTGGGGTGGGAGTGCACGTGCATGTGTGCTCTTTTCAGGCATAGAAACACGGACCAGGAGTTCCTGGCTCTGAGATATGCATCCCAACCACCCCACAGAAGTGCAATGACCGCAACGAGGGGTCCTTGGCTCATCCTCCTTGCATTGGCCAGAGCCCTTGAGTTCTGCTCTGGTGTCTCTGTTCCTGGCGTGTTCCTCTTTCCTCCCTCAGGCCTGTCCTGGCCCCAAATGGCCTATCTGTCTCCCTCCAGCCACCTCACATGCCCCATTCTGCACACGGACCCACCTTAGAGACCTCCACCTCTCCTTTTCTGTTTGGTTCTCTGGGCTTTCACTCTCGTAGGAAGCCAAATACAGACCTAAACCAAAACGGAAGTGAAATTAGGCAATTATGGCAGGTGACTGTAACTCTTTGTTTACCCAGAACTTGATCTGCTTTTTGTTTGTGATTTAAACTTCTCCTTTGGAGGTCATTGCTCACAGACAGTTTTAAGGAACAGCATGCGGAGATCCCATGGCCCCTCTACCCAGTTTCGCCCACAGTACCCACATGCAAAACTATAATACAGAGCGTGTCCTTCACTTATGATGGTTTAATGGGCAAGTTTTTCCTACTCAGGATGCTATAAGGTGACACACGTAGTAGAAAACACAATCTGTATTGAATTTGGATTTTTGGCTTGGCTAGCAATAGGAAGTGTGCTCCCCTCTGTGAGCTGCAGCCACACCCCCATCAGTCATGAACTATTCCACACGTAGTGATATAATCTGTTTTATGTTAGGCATTAGAGACCAGCACTCAGGAGACAGAGGCAGTCATATCTCTGTGAGTTCAAGGCCAGCCTGGTCTACATAGAAAGTTTCATACCAGCCAGGACTACATAGTGAGACCCTGTCTTAAAAAAATAATAAAACAAATGCCCAAAACCAAGAATAGCTGTCTTTATGTTAGAGGGCCATGTGATACTGTAAGAGAAGCTGTCTAAGCATGTTTATAGCAGGCTGGACTAAGCCGTGATGATCCATAAGCTAGGGTACTAGAGATGTGTTTCTGACTTATGGTATTTCTGACTCCGGACGGGTTTACTGGGGTGTCATTCCATCATGAATTGAGGTACCCTGGTATAGTATGTATCATAATCAGGACACTGACATTGGCAGAGTTTAGACACAGGACATTTCTATAACAACTAAAGCACCATGGGCAAAAGTGCCCTTTAGAGGCACACCCACGTCCTTCATGTCCCACACTTTCCTTTATCCCCCCTTCCCCCCTCTTCTCCCTCACCTCTCCTTCCTTCCTTTGATTTGGGGATTGAACCCAGGGCAGCAAATCTATCACCAAGCCACACCCCCAACGACCCCACCCCCTACTTCAAATTTCTGACAATTACTAATATATTCTCCATTTCCTTCTTTTAATAATTTAAAAAATGTTATATAAATAAAGTCATCTATATTACATAGATAGATAGATAGATAGATAGATAGATAGATAGATAGATAGATGATAGATATTTAATCTTTTTGAGACTGGAGACTCATCCATGAGTATCAATGGCATGGATCCTGTTTGTCTAAAGCACGGGTGTATCACCAGGATTGTTTTCTGCTTGAGGCTGTAACAAGGGGAACTTATAGACACTGATATATGGGGTTTTGTTTCTCTGTGAGCATGGATAGCATTTGTCTAGAATGAGCCAATGCCCAGGACTCTTTCTTAGTCATAAGATGTCACCAGTACTCAGTTTTACAACAAACTCTTTGTCAGTTGGGCATGCTGGTCCTTGCCTGAAATCCCAACCCTGGGGGACCCAAGTGTGAGTTTGGAGCTATCTGGGTTCCATAAGTTCTAGGCTAACCTGAGTTACACAGTGAGATTCTACCTCAACAAACAAAATAAAACAAATATAGGTAAACCACAAAAAGCGAAACCAACAAACCCCAAACCAAGACTTCTCTGTCTACACCCACACTTCCTGGGATGTGACGCAGCTTGTTATGACATGGTTATGTCCCAATAAACTTCTGAAGAACGAAACCGCTACTGCCAAATCTGTGCATTCAACAAGCCAGACCTGGCACCACTGGCCTGCAACCCCAGCTGCTCTGGAGGCCGAGGGAGGAAGATCACAAGGTTGGGTTTGCCTGGGCTACAAAATGAGTTCAAAGCCATCCCAGGCAACTTAGTGAGACCTTGCCTCAAAATGAAAATGAGGCCTTGGGACAGAGCCCAGGGACAGGACATTTGCCTGGTGATGTGTGAGGCCTTGGGCTCAGTGGTTTCCAGACATCAATGTCTCATGTTAGTGTGTATCCCACACTACCCTCACACAGTGCCCCCACACACCCACCACCCATGGAGAGACCCATAACTCCGCTCTCCTCACGTGAGCCCCAGTTCTTATCCTCACTCCCATATTATTAATGAGGAAAACTGGGGAGGTTGATGTTGAAATGCTCCTAGGCCCTATTCTAGTTCTTCCATTTTGTATGGAATTCTGACACCGTGGAAAGGCAACCGTGTCCCTTAGGCTTCTCATGGCAGCAGACATGGTTGGAAAGCTTAACAATGACAGCTCTGTGCTCAGAGAGGACTCTGGACCCAGGGGTCCTTGAAGTCCTAGCCTGTGACCTGTTGGGTTTGTCTTGTGCTCCTTAGGAGGCACCTGGGCGCTGGTTAGACAAGGGAATGTCTAACCAGCTCGGCTTGGGGCCAGCAGGCTTAAGCTGTGTCTCTGCCCAGAGTTGGGTTCCCGGCATGGTGACCGACTAAAGACTGGACAGTCCTACTGGCTGGATGCCGAGGCCACGGGGCCGCCTTACCGTCCTCGCTGAAGATGGGGGCAGTGTGCAGGTAATGGGTGATGCTGGGGTCTTGCTCAAAAGGACATTCCACTTGTTTCCAGGTGATGAACTCTCCAACCTGTTTGGCCAGTTCCAGAAATTTCTGCAGGGTTTACAGAGACACAGAACAGAGCAAAGTGAGTGGCTTGCCTTGGCTCATCACCCTTGAGTGATCTTGTGGATCTGAGAAGGAACATGGGGCCGCGGGTGACAGGAGAAGGATGCTGGTTCTGTGAGAGCCACCTTGCCATGTCTCCTTCATTGCTTTTAGCAATCCATGACCCCTGTCACCTTAGGTGGGTGGTGGCAGCCATTGGCCAACAGCTTTTTGAGCCAATGTCTCACTATGCCCTCATGGCCTGGATCTACTTACATACATCAGGTTGGCCTCATACTCACAGAGATCCTCCTGCCTCTGCCTTCAGAGTGCTGGGGTTAAAGGTGTGTGTGTCAGATACTTGTTGACTTATAGGGTTATAGTTCAGTAAATATATTTCAATAAAATTTAAGTAAAGCGATTTGTGTTCTTTTTATATGTAAATATGCGGGCATGTTTACATGATTGCCAGTGCCTACAGAGACCAGAAGAGGGTGTTGGAACCCCTGAAGCCAGAGCCACAGTCATTTGTGAGTGCGGGGAACCAAACTGGGGGCTTGTGGAAGATCAGTACATGATCTTAACTGCTGAGCTATCTCTGCAACCCAGGTGAGGTTTAAAAAATCTTATGACATGTATTTATTGTGCATGTGTGTAAATGTGTAGGCATATGTGTTCACTGGGGCACAGGTGGAGGTCAGAGGACAACTCATCGGAGTCAATTCTGCCCTTCTACCATGTGAATCCTAGGGATGGAACTCAGGTCATCAGGCAGCAAGTACCCACATCCACTGAGCCATCTCAACAGCCCTAAGGAAATTCTTTTATCTGTATTTTTTAAAAATAAAATCATCTTTTAATATGCACAAGCCATTGGTTCTAAGATCCCTTCACCCCAACTGAGATACCCAAATCCACAGAGGCTCTGATCCCTTCTTTAAGATGGTGTATTAAGATGGTGTATTATTTCCATGAAGCAGATACACCTCCTGTTGCCGGCTGTTAAACCATTTCCAGGTTGCTCCTCACACCTAACACAATGTAGGAGCCATGCAGATGGCTTCTGTGTGCATTGTCCCGAGAACGGTGACAAGCGAAACAGCCTGTACTCCTTCAGGACAGATGTAAATATGAAATATTTTTCCAGTCTCCAATGCAGAACTCGTGGAAACAGAGGGCTAGCTGCATATGTGTTTAAATATTCAAGTATGCTAACTTTCAGCAAGGTTTTAAACACATAGCAGCTGGCTGTTGTCTGTGCAATGCTTCCTGTAGGCTGATGTGTTTGAGCACTTCTTCCCCATTTGGTGGCGCTGTTGGAAGGTTATGGGACCTTTGGGAGGTGGAGATTTGCTGGGGGACAGTAGGGCCCTGCTGGTGGCCTTTGATGGTTTACAGCCTGGCCCCACTTTCTGTTTGGGGTCCACTTCCAGAATGCAGATGCAACATGGTCAGCCAGCTTCCTGCTCTTTCCTCCACTCCTTCCCTTCAATCATGGACTCTCATCCCTACAGAACAATAAGGCAAAAGAAATTCTCTCTCATTCCCCCACCCCCTAGCAAAGAAAACAGGACACAGCCTAAAGTCAAGCCTGGAGCAGAGAACCTGCCCTGTGTCATTCCTCAATCGGCCCTAGTGGTGGGGTCTAGCGCACTCCCCTCCCACACCTGCTCCCTCAGTATGTGGTCACATGAGTGGGTGTTTCATAGTATTCCTCAGCTCTGATTCTAGGGACCAATTCAATGAGGAAATGACGAAGTCCCCTACTCCCAGTCATGTGTCAGGATCACCACCAGGAAAAGCCCATCCCAGACCCCTGGGCCCCTTCTGTCTCATCCTCTTGGCCTCTAGACAAGAGCCTAGGACCACATGCTGGGTTGGACAGTCCCTGACTCTGCCAGCTTTGGGACAAACCAGGCCTGTGGGTCACCTGAGATTGGTGGGGACACCAGCGAAGAGCCCAGGCTTGTGCTGTGGTCCTCAAGAGCAGGAGACACCCACAGAGTTTTTGATAGCCTCCAAGACCTGTGTTTGACCATAGCTGTGGCCCATTTTACAAAGGGAGGGGATGTACGTCGTCGGATAAAGCGGCAGTGGCCTTCCTAATGCTGTGACCCTTTGATACAGCTCCACATGTGGTAACCCACACCCATAAGGTTATTTTTGTTGCTACTTTTTAACTGTAAGTTTATTACTGTTGAGAATTGTAGTGTAGCCAGGTGACAGTAACGGGGTAGGTCTTTAATCCCGGCTCTCTGTGCGTTTGAGGCTAGCCTGGTCTACAAAGCAAGTTCCAGGACAGCCAGGGCAACACAGAGAAACCCTATCTCAAGAAATCCCCAAAACCAAAAAAAAAAAAAAAAAAAGTATAATGTAAATATCTGTGTTTTCTGAGGTCTTAGGCAATCCCTGTGAAAAGGTCATTTGACCCCGAAGGGGTTGCAACCCAAAGGTTGAGAATCACTAATACAGAGTCAGTAAAAGGTTCAGGATTTATGCCTCTTGGAGCCGAAGGCTGCATGGGCACCAGGTGACCACCGAAGGTCACTTGCTGATCTTCCTGCAGGGCAAGAGCCTCTTTCCTCCCACAGATCGGAAGGTCCTACTACTTCAAGCCCTGCAGACTCTGTTTGCAGAGCCCATGGGCCACACAGGGATGCGGGTGGGCTCTTCTGAGCCACTCAGGAACTCCAGTTCTGAGTGAGTGGCCGATTCCCTGCCTGCTGTGGGACTCCTTTCCATCTGAGAGGTACTGGGGGCTTCCCGGAGGAGGGGACATTTGATGAGCCTGGTGAGCTGAGGGAGCAGATATCTCTCTTCACTTCTGCCTCTGTGGTTTCTGCTTCAGAACTCCATTCTGGGTCCCTTCTTTTGGGGACCTGCCCTGGTTGCCCTGTACCATACATTCATGTGGTCCCTGAAGGACCTTGCCAGCTGTTCCCATAGGTCTACATTGCTGGCTTTCTCTTCAGCCTGGTGCTCTTCAAGGATGAAAATGATGCTGTACCCTGTGGACATTTAGCCCAGAGTGCTGGTTGGCATGTGCCTGAGCCTCAGCCTCAGCCTCTCACTCTGGGTGATGTTAGGGGGCTCAGATAATCCCACTCTGAGATGTAGATTGCTGCATTCTGTCTTCACTAAAGCCCCCATTAATCCAGCGATTGGGGGGCTAGCAGTCCCATGTTGGCAGCTTTTGTGTGTGTGTGTTTGTATGACTACAGGTGTATGTGGTCAAGCAGAGGCCAGAGGATAATCGCAAGTACTGTCCACCTTGCTTTTTAAGACAGTCTCTCACTGGCCTAGAGCGAGCTAACTAGGCTAGGCCGACTGGCCAGAGAGCCCCAGAGATCCACCTTTCTCCTCCTTCTGGGTCTAGGATTACGAACACGTGCTAACAAACTCAGCGTGTCTGTACATGGGTTCCAGGGATGGAGCTCAGGTCCTCAGGAAAGCACACCACAAGTACTTCTCTGAGGCATCTCTCCAGCTTCCCCCCTTATTCGTGCTGGGAACTTTTAGCAGCTTGTCTTCTTCGCTGGCATCACTGAAGGCCTGCGGACCCACCTCGAAGTTGACATGCCCGTTGGGAAGGCGGTTGGCACAGCCCTCGTTGAGGAAGTAGATGTCTTTGATGAGCAGGCTGAAGAAGGGGATGACAATCTGGAAGGGGGAGGGTGCAGATCAACGTAAATGCGCGGGCCCCGCCCCAGCAGCCCAGAGTTAGAAGAGGGCTCGGAGCACAGGCCCATGAAGTCCTAGCTTGTCCACCTGCCCCCCGACCACCCAGCCTCAGCATGGGCGGTAGAGAAACCATGCAGAGCTCCACCGTGGCAAGTTGACTTCTCCAATCGGAGTTCAGCCCAGCTTCTACATATCCACCCTACAGTCCCACTCCTGAGCTGTGAGCCAGGACCTCTGCAAATGACACACAGTACCACCCGTGTCCTGGGAACAGAGGTGCAGTCGATAACAAGGCTGGGATAGTCACAGTTGTGCAAGACGGGGTTGGATACCTGGCTCTGCCATGGCCTTACAGTACAACTGTACAATGAAGAATCCTCTCAGGGACTCGGTCTTCCAATCTGGCAGATGGGAATGCTAAAGCCCATCAGAGTTAAGTGGCAAGCCGGGAGGCATGGAGCCCACATGCATAGATGCTCAGTGGAGAGAGATCCCTGCCTTGCTGTCTGGCTTTCTAACATCCTGGCTCCTGGGATGGGACAGGCTTACTAGGACAGATACTGGGTCAGGTGATTTGGTCCTCCAGGTCCTCCTGCTACAGTTTGGATCCTGTGTTTTCCAAAGGCTCATTTGGCTATGGCTTGCTTCCCAGGGAGGTGTTCGTGGGAGGATGTGGAAAATTAGGAGGTAGAGTTTAGTTAGCAAGAGACATGCCTTTGAAGGGACTATGAGACCCTGAGTTCTTTCTCCTCGTTGGCTCCCCTACCATCAAGTGAGCAATTTAATTCTTATCATGTGTCTTTCCCATAAAAGGCCCACAGCAACAAAGCCCTCCAATCATGGACTGAAACCATAGAAACCATCAGTCAAAACCAATTCCTTTAGAAGTTGGTTGTGTCAGCTAATCAGTTACAGTGACAGAAAGCTGATTAATAAGACTGATACAGTCTTATCCAGTCAAAACTATGGCTGGAGAAGGAAGAGGCTATGAAGGCAGACACTTCTGACCTTTGACCATCTCTTCCTTACCTTCTCTCTGCTGCTGTGAGCAGTCAGCGAGCGGTGAGCTGCCCCACGCAGGGCTGTCCTATAGTTGCAGAAATTCCCCGTGGGGTCCATCTGGTGCTGGGAGGAGACGGGGGGGGGGCATGTGAGCAGCAATACTCAGGGACCGGCTGGCCACACCCCTTAGGGTAGAAACCATGTTTACCTCTAGGATGAAGAACTTGGCTGTTTTCACTTTGGCCCAAGTCTTCTTCAGCCTGGAGACAGGGCTCATGTTCATGCCGGCTAGAAGAAGGTGTACAGAGTTGGGAGGGCCCCTCCAGCCTGGACAGTCCCCTCTGTTCCCAGAGTGTGCCCTGAGTGTGGCTGAAGGGTAGCTGAGTGGGTAGGGGCTGGCGTTCATTATACCGAGGTTGCCAGGTAACTTCGACCCTGTCCCAACTACACAGGCCTACTGTGGCTTCACCAGGATCCATTTTGGTCTCTGTCTTAAGGTGTATACTGACGAACGCTTCAAATGCACCCTTGGGGGACAGACCCCGCTTCAAATGGACCACCTCCATCAGCCTCTGATGTGGGCAGGGATGTGGCCCACAGCCACACACTGTGGAGACCTCGACATGCACCCCACCTGCTGGCCGTGCCCACGTTAACCTCTCTGGTGGTCCTCACACAGGCTACTTCAGGTCTGGGCAAGCTCACTCACAGATAATGGCCATGAGGGAGTTGAAGTTGCCGATGTTGAAGCACTCGCGGGCCACGTCAATGAAGAACTCAATCACCTGTGCCCTCTGCTTCTTCTTGGCTGGCTGGGGACAGGACCAGAGCTTCAGTGGGCATGCGTCCCCACTCCTTCCTGCTCAAACACCACATTCAAGCAGCCTCCTCCTGCCCCTCTCAAAGCCCACTTCACTGGGGATAAGTCCAAGGCCCAGGGTCTCGGGACCCTTTGTGGCAGAGCCAGCACACACCTCCAAAGTGTGAGGTCAGATGTGACCCCGTGACGCTCCTGTGGGACACAGGTGCCCTGAAGGTGCTGCGAGGCATCTTTGGGATGGTGCCCCCTTGAGGCTTAACTTCCCATGAAAGACAGAAGTACTGCCATTTCCTTCCTCCCCACCATGGAATTTGCTCTCTCCTCAGTGAGGGCCAAACAGCAAGCCTGGGGTCTGCCATTTCTTTTTGGGCTGTCCCTTTATTGCTTCCTGTCAGAAAACTACGCCACTATGAAAAGTCACCTCGGGGACAAGTGCTTGGGACTCTACCTTTCTGGTGGGTCAGAATCAAACTGTCCCTGTGTCATCCCAGGAGGGTTCCTGAGTGTCCAGCTGCACTCTGTCCACACAGCCACACAGCCGAGACAGCAATGTGGCTATGGGAACAGGGCCAGGTCAGTACAACTCAGGTGGACCCTGCTTGTCCATCCACACAGTCATGGTCTCTCTGGCCACCAAGAAGTGTACTGTGACACATCTGGATTTGTGCCACCAAAGTCCCTCCAAGGAGTGGTCTCCGCTGCAGAGAGCTGCCCACCCAAGATCTAGTCCTGCCCTTCAAAAGGCAACTCACTCAGCGACGACAGTGACAGAGTCAAGTGAGGTTTAGAGAAAGGCGGACCTCTCACCCCACCGTGGACACCACAGAGCAGCTTAGCACACGCCTGACGGCTCTGTCCCTCTCTCAGGAGCAGACCCCTAGTGAGCATTGACCCTTGACCTCTGCCCCAGCGAGCCCAACTGGACGAGGCAGTCTCTCCTCTTGTGCTTCACCTTAGAGGGCACTACCCTTGGTATAAAGGAAACGAAGATGCCAGGCAGGGCATGGCCAACATCAGGATGCCAAAACTTCCTGCTGACAGAAGCCGTCACTGGCCTAGACTTGTTTTGCAATTCAGTGTTTTTTTTTTTTTTTTTAAAGAATTATGGTTCCTCGTTTTCTATATTAAAAAAAAAAAACAGATAAAAAGCGCCCTGGAGACTGATGGCTTGGGTGAAATCGTTCATATCCTTCAGAGCACTGAATAGCATTCAAAGCAAGGCTGTCACACACTGTGAAACCTATAGCGATAACCTGCTTTTCTCTCGCAAATGTCATTCACTAACAGCACTAACAATAGCATGCACAGTCTCAGAAGACACTCGTCAAAAGCAATAGGGGCTTGGTGTCAAATCAAACAAAGGACTTAGGAACAGATTTATTTCCAGTCTTACTGTTGGCCTGGACTTTCAATTTGCAATTTTCCAGTTTTTAAAGGTTAGACCATTTTTTTTTTTACCCCCAAGCCCCAAGCAAGCTACACAACCCAGTGGCCCAAGGCAGACAGGTCTAGACTGAGGCACATAGTGGGCTGCCCTCATTCCTCAACAACCAATCCGACTTTCTCCGCAGCCTGGGCTGGTGGAGTCACCCTGAGATTCCCTGGTCTGGCATGGTGGTCCGTCATGCCCTGGGCTTGGGAGGTTGGGGTTCAGTACATCCTTCCAACCCCCAGGTAGCCTGTGACTGGCAGGCAGGGCCAAGCAGCTACTCACCATGCAGATTTCAGTCGCTACGAGATAGCACAGCCGGTTGAACCACTTCACATAGACCTCTACGTTGTTTGTCTTGTCATTGAAGCGGGGCTAGGAAAGACATGTGGGCTGAAACTCCTTGTTGCTGAGTTTTCAGAGTGCAGAATCATATCATAGTCATAAGGGAGAACCCAGACACTGTGACGGTCTCAAAGTCAGCCAGAAACACAGTGACCCAATGTGTAACTTCCTGGTCTGCTTCTTAAGGGCTGGCGGCTCTAGACTGGTCCCCACCATCACCAATGTGGGAGGCCTTGGTTCCATCCACAGCACCAGATGAAGTACAAATATATGAATTAATGAGGCTGTAATTCAGAGTTTACTGGTACGCACACATAATCGATATTTATTATCCATAGAGTCTGTATTTGTAAATTTGTCCACTGTTCAATTGTTTCTGTAATTCCAGCAGCCTGCATTGCTTTCTCATTCATTGGCGTGCGGGGACAGAAAGGCAAAACATTTGAGCCCCTCAACTTACTTCAGCATTTCCAGCTAAGACTGGACTAAACGAAGTTGTTGTGTCTTGTTTCTGCCCGTTCTATGAGCAAGGATCCTTTCTCCTGCCTTTGTTTGGTGTCTCTTCTATTGTTGTGTTTTCTTTGGAGGATAGTTTCAGTGTTTTGAAAGGATCCCAAGATTAATACTGAAGTGATATGTTTTATTCCTAAGAACACAAGGTTAAGGTGTGTCCTACACAGAAAATAGGTGCTAGGGGGCCTTCATTTTATCTGTGACATACAGAGTTAGATAGACAGATAGATGGATAGACAGGTGAACAGACAGACAGACAGACAGTAGGTAGATAGATTAGATATACATACAGATAGATATTTCCTCTCTGTGGTGCTGGTGATGAAACCCAGGGCCTTGCACATGGCAGGCGAGCATACTACTTCAGAGCTACGGCTCAGACCCAGGCACGAGTTGGCCTGGCCATTTGCCTTGAGCTCAGGGTTAAACAGGGATGCACAGTAGATAAGCGTCTTTAAACATGCACACATAACCACAACTACGTGTTGATTGCATGTAGAAGGTGTTGAGAAGTCTGCCGGAGCCTAATGTTGTTGCATTTTCCCCCCAGGAGCAGTGGTTTAAGACTGCTAACTTGATGTCTGTGTTGGCATTCACATAATGACTGGGAATAGCAGAACCAACTCTATGAATGTGTGTAGTATGTATATATATGCATAACTATAGATTTTCATTTTAACCTTTTCCTGAGTCATAAAATGTCTGGGGAAAAACCAATTCCAATCTATGCTGAATGTTCTATGAAATATATATATATATGTATATATATCATATATGTGTGTGTGCATGTGTGTGCTATTGTTAAAACTATTAAACTTAAGATAAAGAAATGTGTATGCTGAACCTTTAATCCCAGCAGTTGGGAGGCAGAGGCAGGTGGATCTCTGAGTTGAAGTCAGCCTGGTCTACAGAGAGAGTTCCAGAACATCCAGGACTACACAGAGAAGCCTTGTCTCAAAACAACAACAACAACAAACAAACAAAAACAAAGAAATGTGTACGTTAAAACTACCAGGGTAATTTTCAATTAACAGAGGAGGTAGACGGAAAGAGATGAAAAGAAAGGAGCGAGAAATAAATCGGGAGATCAAGGAAGAGAAGGACAAATGCTACAGCAGTCGATGAGGACAAACGCGTGCAGACCAGCAATTATAACCAAATCCCATTTCTTGCCATTTTCTAAGTCGAGGATATAAGTAAAAAAGAGATAGGAAATTATACATTTGATAAATGTCACATAGCGATTCGAAGGACCTGATCCCAAGCTTTCTGGCTCAACTAAGATTTTTCAGCTTTATGGTGGGCTTATCAGGACAGAACCCTATCGGGAGTACAGAAATAACTGTAAATAACTAGACAGGTTTTAAGGCAAAAACTATTCTGAGGGAAAAGCTTTGCAGAAGCATTAAAGGGCAACCACACAATAAGAGGTCCAATCTGTTGGGACAATGTCATGAGTGTAAACATGGTTGTGCTAAGTTACACCATGTCTTCAAATTGTGGAGGAAGGGGAGATGACTCGGTTTCCCGAGTTTGATGCCCAAAACCACAAAAAAGCCAAGCTTGGTGATGTTCACTTGCGATCCTACCGATGTGATTGTTATATTGATGAAGAAATAGCGAGATAAATCACAAAGACGTGGTTGTGAAGAAATTTAGGAGAACAGTTATTATTGAGAGAAAACAGAAGGGAAATGGTTGAATTCCTGTAACACTGCCAGAAGCTACAGAACAACTTAAGAGGAAAGAGAAAAGCAGGGGCCAGCTACCCAGGACTCTGACGCAGGGGGATCCTAAGTTCAAGATCTGACTAAACTAGTTAGTGAGCCTGTCACACAATAAAAAGGAAAAAAAAAGCACAAAGGAAGGTCAGGAGCGTAGCTCAATGGTAGAGTGCCTGCCCAGGAAATAGAAGGCCCTAGGTTCAATCCTCAGTACCCCTTTGTGGGGGTGGAAAAAGGATAAAGAGAAAATCTAAACAGTCTTATAGTCACTAAATAATAATAAGAATAAACTAAGAAACAAACTAACAAGAAAACTCTTGACTATTTTTGGAGGACCGAGTTTCTTTAAGAACACATCAGACTTGGACGTTTTCCTGGCAAATGCTGACTAATGCTCCAGCAATAGGCAGTTCCAGTCTTTTATACATAAAAGAGAAAGAGCAGCCAAAAATAGTATCAGGAAGAAAAGTACCGGTCAGTCTTACTCATGGTTAACAGTGGCAGATGCTCTAAACAAAACAGCACACAGGGCCCAGGGATGCACGGAAGAGATGAGGGTTTATTTCATCCCTGTTCTGCTTATTTCAGAAATGTAAGGTGGATTCAACACTGATTTTAAAAAAACTAATAAAGCAACTACTTCACAGTTTAGGGGAGACGCAACATGTGAATTCTGAGGCAATGCATCACTATGAAAATATTTCTCACATCTCAGAGACAGGAAATTTGCTGGACCTTACAGCCAAGATTATGATACACCTTGAGGTCATGTAAGAGTGTCCCATCTTCTGTTTGTTCAACCTGCCTATAAGAGAACAATGTAAAAACATCCGCACTTGCCTTGGATTCTCCACAGAATCAGCTTTTGCAGCCTCAGCGAATCCATAGCTGAGCTTTAATCTTCAATTATGTATTCTTCCAGGCCCGGAGCAATGCATGTGTGTTTGCATGTGTGCTATGACAACCATTGGCTGGAAATAGCAGACAGGACAATAGAGACTCTGCGATAAAGTATCTGCCACAAATGCTCAAGACAGCCTGGAGACAGTCTGTTTGCAGAACTGTTTGCTGTCTGTGTCATTTGGAATGGGTAGGCTCATTCCTTGTGAAACTCTGTTAGAGATTTCTGTAAAGTGCCCATCAGTCCTCCCTCATGAGATGCCTTAATAAAGGAGAACGACGTCCTTTGTTAGGGACAGATTCAGGCAGGCTCAGTATCAGACTCATCTGACAGACAGATTACAGACTGCTCGGAAATCATAAGCTACACAGAGACAGAGGGCACATGGAGAGGAGCGGGTAATTCAGACTGGGATCACTCTTGGACAAAGTCCTCCAAGAGGAGGTGTTAGATGCTTTTCCTGAACCTGATGCCGACGCATATCAGTGAATCTGAAACTTCCTCTAATGCCTGTAGTCTGTGCAGAGTATTAGAGCTAGAGAAAGAATCCAACAGAACTGAACAACCACGCAGGACAAACTAAGAAGCAAGGCTCCTTTCAAGACCTCAGGAAATAACCTAACAGCAAACACACTCAGGTATGACCTGCTAAAGGCATTTCTTCTTAACTCAGGAAGAAGGTTCTCTTCCTTCAACACCACTGCTTGACATTGTAGTGGTGTGTGTGTGTGTGTGTGTGTGTGTGTGTGTGTGTGTGCAAGTTGGTGCTGTAAACAAAATCGGGTAGTGTGTGGGTGTGCATGTTCTGCACTAAATAACGATCTTAGCATTTCAGAGACCTAAAGTGACAGAGGAAGGCCTTTCTACTATTCCTGTCCCTCTTATCCCTGAGGGGTTCCTATTTTATGGCTGCCACAAAAACAAAACAAATACTATTTTATGGGCTGGAGGGATGGCTCAGTGGTTAAGAGCACTTGCTGGGGGCTCCCAGCATCTATGTGATGGCTCAGGTGTAGAATACTCGCCTAGCATGCACAACGCTCTAGATTCAATGCCTAACACCTAAAACAAAGTTCTATTTAGTACTGTCAGTTACAAAATTGATATACAAAATAATTACTGTTGTCTTAATGGGGAGCACCTGATTGGCCTCAAGCTGGTTTTCACTGAATACTATTTTGACTTGAATGACAGAGAAACTCTCCTTAGTCAGAGCAGCGTTTGGCTGACCTTGCCTTGTTAATGGATGAGAAGCTTGTCACCTCCAAGAGAACAGTTCATAGCATTTGCAGCCAATGATGAAGTTCAAGCTTTCAAGAGAAACTTGGAACTGATAAAAACCCTTGTCCACCTCTGGGAGCGTGACAGCCTCTGGGTTTTCACAGCTTTTCTTCCCCCCAGCAGTACGGGAGATCTGCTTCTCACAGCGTCTCCGGGTTTTCTCAAGGGACCGATGTACGCATAATCATATATCGAGGTGCCTGACAGTCCAGTGAGTGTCACGGTATATGGAAAGCTTGATGATATATTTTTGGATCTCGTGTTACAATGAGCGTTTAAAAATCAGCACTTGCGATATCTAACAAGAATATGGACAAATATCTCACATGAATTTCAAAGATTTCAAATTCTCAACTACAAACCTGTGAAAGCCCCTCCCCCCAGGAGGTTGGCTCTGGGACGGAACCTAGGGTTTCCTGAAGCGGAGGAAAGGGATCTGCCCTTGACCTCTAGCCCCCGGCTGAGGACGCAAGTTTACAAAGTTGACGCCTTTGCTCCTGCTCCTCGGCCTTGTAAAGTCATGTGATCTTTACCAACTGCGTACAGGAGCCCTGCTTTCCTTCCAGAGGCACAGTATGTCTAGATTATGCTCCTTGCCTCTCTCAGAGGGCAAAAGACGCAATCACACTACAGCATTGAATTTGCACTCCTTTTGTTAGGTGGGGCCTTGACTAGAGGATGCTTCCAGTTCTGGCTGGATCTAGCCTTTTGGTTGGACGCCCTACTCCGGTGGCTGGGCCTCTAGGAACTAAGAACTAGCTCTAAATCCTGGCGTGGCTCAACGTGCCCAATCTTCTCAAGGCGGCCACTTTTTTCAAGCACGGGGCACCAGCCGGCACTTCCGTCAGTGGCCGCTGGAGGGCACCGGCGCCCGCTGAAATGCACAGGGAGGACCCGCATGTCCTAGGACGTGCAAGATGCACCCTGTATCTGATCTCTACCCAGTGTAGGAGCTAGACTCAAGGTGATAGCAGGTTTAACGAACACGCCTCCACCCTGGCTGAATGAGTGATCTGATGGGGTTCACCCAGTAAGTCTCATGGGCTCCCTGGGACTCGGTTCTGTTGCCATCTGAGCTGGAAAGCCCTGGGAAGGGTGGCCAGGGGCCCTCCATTCGGTTCTGAGCATCATCAAGGCTCCCCCAGTTAATGCCCGTGAGATCCATCCATATCAAACACCCTCCACTGCACCCTCTCCACCCCCACCCCCTACCCTCTCACTCCCCACGCCCTGGAATGGCCACCACTAGGTGGAGGCCAGCTTTCTTCCAAGAACTTTTTACCTTTGTGCCCTCCAGGGGGTCCTTGTTCACAAAAGCCTGGACAAACTCCTCGGGTCCAATGTGTCTTAGTCGCTCCTGCACCGGAGAAGGGAGAAGAGTCAGAAGAGAGGGAAGGTGTGGGGAGGGGGTACACGTGGGGAGGCAGCAAGGGTGCCATCAGGGGGGCAAATGTGGCAGGAACGTGCCCACTTCCCTTCACTGCTTCTCTCGGGGGACTTTGGCCTCTGCACCTACACAAAACCCCGTGTGTTTGGGGCAAGGTCAGCTCATTCCCTTTTCTGCACACGAAGGAGGGCTTAGCTGTTGCTCTGGAAAGGGCAGCCTCCCCTGCCCCCCACCCCCAGGCATGTAGGGCCCCAATGGGAAATTCCTTTGGCCTGGGAAGAGCACACAGTGAATGACATCATAACAGAGTTTGAACCCAATTCCTCTGTCCTCAGTCTAGACTATGATGTTGACACTTCTAGACCTCCTGGGCCACCCCCAAGAATGCCGAGGGACTGTTCCAGGGTCCTCTGCAGATGCCCCTGGTCCCTGGGCCTAGATCCCTGGGCTCGCCTGAGATCAGGAAAGACAGGCTGGGAACAGCATTGGCTGTTTGCTGCTCCCTTCCCTGGGTCCCACTCACCAGCTCCACATGGGTCAGTTGCTGGGCCAGCGTGTAGGGGTCACTGCAGACACCTAGGAGCTCCCTGTGGATGGAGGCTGGTGGCTTGGTCCTGTACGAGATGGGCTTGTCCGCCCCTACCAGGCCTTCTGGCCCCTGGCCAAGTGATGCCAGTTTCTGGTGCAGAGTCTGCAGGAGCTGATGCATCCTGTTTCCGTAGGTCTAGGGCGGGGCGAGGGGAGAAGGTGCTCAGGCTTGAATACCCACACCCCAAACTCAACCACAGTTGCAGGCTCTAGGACGAGTGTGTGAGCGTGTGTATGCGTGCATGTGTGTGGGCATGCACATGTGCTTGTATGTGTGTACACACGTACATGTGCATGTGTGTACAGGCGTGTGTGCTTGCATGTGTGCATGCATGTGTGTGTATGCATGCATTGTGTGCAGGCACGTGTGCATGCATGTGTGTGTCTTTGTGTGTGTCCATGTGCATGTGCGTGTGCATGGCTCTGCGGACAAGGCCAGGTACCAGCAAACATGCTGCGACCTGGGACCTGACAAAAGACCCTTTGTTGGACTTGTGGTAGTTGGGGCCAAAGTGAATGCCAGTTGGGAGAAGGTTTCAGGATTACAGGTGGGAGCTGAGGAAATACTTTGGGTAGAACATCTCTGGCTAACGTGGCTACAGGCAGAGTGGGGAAGGCAACCCAGGGAAGGAGAGAGAGAAGGAAGGGAAGGCATGGAACAGGCTCTGCCTGGAACATTCACCTCTTACTGACTCCGTGGGAACCATCCTGCTCTTTGAGCGTGCCCAACTCAGAAAGGCCTTCCCAACCAGTCTTATGCTCCTGCCCCAGCCCCTAGCAGTGCTACCTTCTTCAGAGTGACTTCTCTTATAGGACCCCAGCTAGAATGATGCTGGATGGGACAGGACGTGCCATCTCTGTCACGAGAGCCCAGTACGTATTCCATGAACAGGGCAGGAACAAACCCGCTCCACGTGGAGCTCAGGACAACGGCCGCTTTGGATTATGCTCTGGACTGGCGGCTGGAACAAGAGATTCCTGCAGGGGCATCCTCTTCTACCCACAAGGGGAAATCCATTGTATCTCCTTCAGAGATCATATTTACTTAAAAAATATTTTTAAAATAAAAAAATAGGTGCGTGCGTGTTTGCTTATGTGTGGGTGTGTACACTTCAGTGGAGGTGCCCTCAAAGGCCAGGATAGGGGTTCAGCTCCCCTGGAGCTTGAGTTACAGGTAAGTTGTGAGCTGCTTGGTGTAGATGAACTGACCTTAATCCTTCTGCTCTTAACCACCCCTGAGTCACATCAGCCCCAGAGACACTACTTCTAAACAGTGATGCCATCGGCCTAGCTGGGTTTATTGAGACATCCACATAGCCGAAGAGTTTTGGCCAGTAACCCAGAATAGACCCGAGCGTGTTAGCCTGTGGCAAATGTCACACACAGAGATGACTCCATGCCTCATGAGCCAAGGAGTCATCCTGGGAGCTGGCAGATCAACAGTAGGCAGTTGGGGGAGCCGGCTTTCTCAGGTGCTCTTAGGGTTCATCTGTAGAGCTCTAATGCCCCCAAATGACAGGTCCTTGGCCACAAGCACTGATGCCAGTTTGACCCTGCATGGGGAGCAGGGCGGCGGGAGGGGGGCCTCTGTGGCACAGGTCCCTGGGTATGGGACTTTGCAGGTGGTTTAGTGGGTCAGAGAGTCACTGCCGGGCATCCAGTCCATCTGAGCCCATTGGTGGGTCCTACTCACCACCCAACGCCATTGCCAGGACGGAAGGGAGAGGTAGGAAGGATACTGGGCCTAAACAGGGTCTGGGATTCCCTCGCAGCTATGTAGGGCCTGGTTCCTCCATGGACTCCAGAGGATCCCATTGAGGGGCTGTACTATGCAGTGTGAGGAGAGAAGAGCCCAGGGGAGACTAAAACAGGCTCAGGACCTGGATAGAAAGACATAGGAAGGGGAAGTGACTTCCACCCCGGCTGGCCCACCTCGTCACACGGGGCGATGCGGCCCACCACGTCTGTCAGGTGTCCGATGGTGGACTCCTCTTCAAAGTCCCGTGGGAAGGTTTCGGTCCACTCGGCCAACAACTGGAGCAATTTGGCACCAAACTTCCGGACTCGGGCCTGCAAGGCAGAGCAGAGGCAGGGGCCACTTGGCGGGGTGCAGCGAGGAGCTGTCAGGTCTGCACTGAGCATGCTCTGCCTATCTGGAGCATCCCTGGCCTCTCCCTTTCTGGGAGTTAAGGTATCCTAGGTTTTTTCATGGGGCTCCCTCTCTCTTTACCAGAGGCTCAGGCCCAGCTCAGAGACGGAACTATATGAGTTCTGGCCAATCAGGTCCTTGCGTTCTAATTTATTGTGTGCAATGACCGGCTCACAGATGAGCATATGACCTAAGGCAGACCAATGGAATCTCAGCCTTTTACCTTTAAAGGTCTTTCCAGGAGATTGGAAGGTTAGAAGGTCTCCTTGACAAAGGAGGCCACCCTATCGCCATGCACGAGAATCTGCCAGCACTATTGAGCCCTTAGTCCCAGGTGAAATCAGGGCAGAGCATCCAAGTGAGGACGACCATGTCCTAGTTCCGTGATTTGGGCCCCTCATAGAGAAGGCAGTTACATGCCTCAGCCAAGTCCCTTTCCTTGGGTCAGTTGAAGTTGAGTTTCTGCCACACTACCCAAAAGCCAGACCGACACAGGTGCAGAAAATCATAATTCACAGGACCAGGTCAGGGAGAAGGGAAAGAGTCTGAGGAGCCACGGCATGGAGAAGCCATCCTTCTCCTATAGAAATAGGAGCCCAGCAGAGGCATGGGCCATCCCAGGCCACAGGGGTTAAGGGCCTCATAAACTAGGCTCTGGGGACACATCACTAGCTTTAAGAAGATCTCACCAGACTTTGGGGATTGGCACAGGTGTAAAGGTGCCTATCCTTGCAGGTCTTGGACCTCGGGTAACTTAATAGGCTCCTTTTCCAGAGGGCAGAACAACCACTTTCTCCCAGAGAGGCTGACCCTGTGAGGTCACGCCCCAGGATCCGGCTGCACTCAGGGGCTCCCTGGCCTGCCCAGCCCCTCACCTTGTCCAGCACCGGCTTGTCCAGCTGTTCCTGCTCTATGCACAGGTGGCACACCCGAGCCAGGAGCTCCCGGGGCTCGATGAAGAGACGCGAGCTCAGCAGGAAGGTGAAGATGTAGGCTTTCTGGTGAGGATAACACACAGGCTCATCAGGGCACAGAGAGTATGTCGCCAGCCTGCCCCAACTCCCCCGGCACAAGGCCATTCCCAGTCCCACCAGCTGCCCCCTGCTCTCCCCCGCCACCCCTTCCCCAAGGCGGCTCACCTACCTCGGGGTAGTAATCGGCTGTAGGCACCAGGTGCTGAATCAGGGTGTCCAGAGAGGCTGAAGATGGAGCTCCATCTAGGAGGGGCTGTCCAGCCTGTTCGCCTTCTGTGGATTCTGTGGGAGGTGGGCTGAGGCTGCCCGGGGTGACCATGTCGGAGGCACTCAGTGTCCGGGGCATGCCTGCCTGCAATGGCGAGAAACAGTTGGGGTAACCTAAGCTGGAGCCCACTGACTCCCTGGGCTCCAGGCTGAAGGACTGTCTCTCACTGTCCACACCGTGTGAAGCTGCCAGTGTCCCTTACCTCACAGCCCAGCATTCATCCTCCATTTTCCTACAGCCCCTCACTTCCTGCCCCAGGAACTGTCTCTTCCTTACTGTCTGTTTCTCCAGAACCTCTCTTCTTGGAAAACCCCTCCACAAAAGCTGCTTCTCTCTCATTTTTATAGTTCAGGCTGGCTGTAGCTCTCAGCAACTCCCCTGCTGCTTCAGACTCATTTACTGTTGGCACTATGGGGGTGAGTCACTATGCACACGAAAAGCTTTTTTTTTCCAAGTCCCCAGTAGTCACCAAGTCTGGCTCAGGTAGGATTCTGATCCAGGACAGGGGTTCAGGAACAATCTCAGATCTTCCTTGACATTTGGAAGCTATTGTTCCCGTGGGGTCCTATTGACTGGGCTTTGGGGACTGTGGGCTTGATGTCATTGAGTTCATCCTGTCTCTGTGAGGATCTGGGAAAGCAGGCACACTCTTCTTGGAGGGAAAGAGCTGGGAGTGAACCCCTGTGCTTACTACCCAAGGGCTCTGCTACTGACTTTTCATTCTGAGACAGGGTCTTCTAAGTTGCCCGAGCTGGCTTTGTACGCACTCTGTAGTGCAGGCAGGCCTTGAACTTATGATCCCCTTGCCTTAGCCTGCTGAGCACCTGAGATCACAGGCCTGTACTACCAGGTCTGTCTGAAAGCAAACACCTTCCAAGAACGGTGCTGGAGCTCCTGGATGCTCTGCCTGAGCCATGCTGTAGACTGACCTGTTAGATATACCTGCTTAAGTTAGAGTTCTTGCCAGTATAGTTAAAATCACTGCCTCCTGCGGCTGCCCTTCCAGGCACTTTGTGATATGAGCTCACTCACCTGCCCAGCTCTGCTTCCTCCTTTTCCCCCTCATGCTTTTGCCAACCACCACCCCTCTCTCCTCCCCAAAACACCTCCCATTCTGACCCCTGAAACACATTGTCCCGCCTGCAGGGTGGCTCCTCAGTCTTCCCCAATACATGTCAGAAACACCTCTGGGGCTACCCCTGCTTCCTCCCAACATCCCTCTACTGCAAGGCCACGCTAATCCCTCGTGGATACCAGTGGACTTTTATTGTGAGTCCCGTTGTAGGGCTGGGGGCTTCTGTCTGTTGCTGGTGTAGAGAAAGGCCCTCGGGGACATTAGTGTTCTCTCCACGCAGGCGCACCAGAGTGCCTCTGTGGTCTGGCCAGCAGAGGGCTTTTGCACATTTTTTACAGGGAACCTATGCTTGCTCCCAGCTCTTCCACACAGGCCAGTCTGTGGGTGTTGGACCAGTTCCAGCCTAGATGGTCAGGTCACCCCACTTTCTCAAACACAGAATCTTACAGGATCGCCCTGAGGAAGTTCCTAAGACTTAGTATGCCCCCTGAAAGCCTCTGGCCTTTTCCTGCTTTTTCTGCCCACTAGTGATTCTGACCTGAGAGTAGAGACAGAAAGACAGGAGGTCAGGGCACACCCAGGGGTGAGAGGAACCCTTCAGAGAGCTAGCTACAGTCTGTGACGTGGGGAGTGCTGCAACGGGGCTTGTCACCAGCTATGGTGGCGCATGCCTTTAATTCCAGCACTCTGCAGGCAGAGGCAGGAGGATCTCTATGAGTTCAAGGTCAGCCTGGTCTACAAAGGAGTTCCAGGATAGCCAGCGCTATTACACAGAGAAACCCTGCCTTGAAAGGGGGGGGGCTTGGTCACTCCACGTGGAGGGACGTGTGGATGAACAGCCCTGACCTTGGTGACAATCACAGCTTAATTTACACCTCCCTAACAAGCTAAAAGCACTCAATTTTCAGTCCTGAAACTGTAAACTTCACAAATGCTCTCTGCAGGTGAAGATACACGGGGGTGGGGTTCCCTGAAGTTCTCAGTGGAGAGGGTGGCCATCTCTAGAGACAGCAGGCGCCAACCTTGTCTCACACCTGGGGCTCAGCACCTGGTTCTGACTCCACGGGCCAAAGTATAGGAGCTAAGACGATTCTCTCTCTCCTGTGTGATGTCTGTCACTTCTTCACCCTGAAGCCTGTCCTGGATCCAGTTCACTTTTCTCCAAGATGGGCCAGTGACCGCATGGAGGTGACAATGACTCTCTGTGGGACAGGGTAGCAGTCTGTCACATGGTGGAAGGAACCAGAGAGGGACGCTTCATGAGACAACAGGGAAGCTCTCAGAATACCTGGCTTAGCATCAGACATTTGATGCTGGGTCCATGAGGATGGGTGGCTGGATCCCCAAGTTCACACTGGGGGCTAAAGGAGTGTTCCACAGGGTTGACCTGAGGGAGGACAAGCTGCAGGAGTTTGGGGAGGTCGCTGCACTGGGGCCTGAGGGAAGGAATGACCCTGTGGAAAAACGTGCCTGGCAAGGGACCAATGTAGGTGAAGGCTGGGATGATTTGGAGGTGTGCTTATGTGGCAGGGGCCAGGTGACTGGGTCCTAGGTGACAGAGTAGGGGATGAGGGAGAGAACAGGGTGAAGGGGGCATCACACATCCATGTGTGAAACACACGTCCTTCCAAGAAGTACACGGAGACCCCAAGCCCTGCCCGTGCATCCTTTCCTGCAAGTATGGGTGACGTTTTGATTAGTTTTTTTCTCTATTGCCCTAAAGCTTCTTTACACAGAGACAATATAAGCATATATCACACACACACACACACACACACACACACACACACACACACACAATTGCATATCACCCACACTGACCAGATCTGGGTACTTTTCATTAGCAATGCATCTCAGAAATCTTTCTGTGGCAGGCCAGGGTTTGCTTAATTTCTCACTTAAAACACTTTATTTTAATTTTTAAACACACACACACACACACAATTGCATATCACCCACACTGACCAGATCTGGGTACTTTTCATTAGCAATGCATCTCAGAAATCTTTCTGTGGCAGGCCAGGGTTTGCTTAATTTCTCACTTAAAACACTTTATTTTAATTTTTAAAACCATCTTATTCACTGTTTATATGTCCAAGAGTAATTCCTTAAAGCCAATGATGGAACAGCCTAAATGATCATCAGTGGATGGATGGATAAACAAAATGTACTAGACATATATGATGAAATATTGCTCTACCTTAAAAGGGGAGAAAATTCCAATATGTCTTACAGCACGGAGAAACACGGAGGACATGAAGCTAAGGGCCGAAACCAGCTACACAAAGACGGAAGCTAGACTGGGGAGATGGGTCAGCAGTTGAGAGCATGTACCTCTCTGACTCACAACCTCCTGGAAGTACAGTTTCGAGGACTTCAGTGCCCTCTTTTGGTTTCCACAGCTGTGCTCTGTCTCTGTCTCTCTTGCAATAACTTTGAGTTTCTCTCTTGGCATTTTTGGTGGCATGAGGCTGAGTGTGTGAACTGGATACAGGTACAATGTGGTTCTAGGACGCCTCCATTCTATGATGCATCATCAGGCTTCATGGTCCAGTAACAAATGCCTGAATTAGTCAACTTATCAAGACAGACGGCTTATTTCAGCTTACTGTTTTGAAGCTTCATTTCTGGTCAGTGTCTAGCTGGCCTAATTGTTTCAGGCCAGTGGAGACACCATGATAGGGTACTTAGTACAGGAAAAAAAAATCACTCTCCTCATAGCTGGGAAGTGAAAGGGGTGAAGAGGATGAAGACAGCTACCACAGTCCTCTTCAGGCACATGAGCCCAGTGACCTGAAGAGCTCTCACCATCTTACACCTCTTGAAGGCCTACCACCATTCAATAGCACCACCCTGGGGACCAAGGCCTCTGCAGAGCATCAAGAGCCAAACTAAGTAAGACCATGTACAAGTTACTTGCGTTGTTGCTGTGATGAAATACCCTGGGAGAAAGGGTTTATTCTGTCTCACAGTTCGTGGTGGAAGGAGCAGGAGCTATCTGGTCACATTACAACCACAATGACAAAGGAGAGAGTAGTAAAGATTTCTCCTTTCTTTGCAACACAGAACCAGAGCCCAGCAATGGCGCCAGTCACTTCTGGGGTAAGTCTTCCCATTTTAGCCTAATTAAAATAATCCCTCACAGGCATGACTGGAGTCTAACCTAATCAAGATAATCCCTTATAAGTGATCCTGGAGCCTTTTGACAGTCAACACTAACCATCCAAGACCACGAAACAAATGAGACTTGTACAATAATCAATGCTGGCAAGCATGTTGGAGCAACCCTTTGAATACTGCTGGGGTGAAGGGGTAAGAGGTACGTGATGTCAGTGCTCTTGAATTGTGCCAAGATTGGGTTCCATGTGTCAAATGCTTCTTGTCCCATTGTCCTTTGACACCAATAAAATCATTGGCAAGGCATTCCAAGAAAATATCACAAGGGAGGGATGCTGGAAAGAAAGGTGTGTGCTTCGGCTGTAACCTGGCTCATAGCTGAAGTGGCCAAGCCAAGGCTTACATTGCTAAGTCCATGCTGCCTGTGGTTTGTACCAGCAAGGGTCCCCTTATTCTTCACACTGGCAGAAAAGCTGCCAGTCCTCTGCCCTCGTGTGGACTTTACTCACTGTGTTAAGGTGGTCTCCTTTTTGTCCTGAGCAGTTGTTAACTTTGCCGGTTCTTGCTCTGCACGAAGCTGACTGTGCACGCACGAGTGTTTCTGGCAAACGTCTGCTCCGTCAGTTCTCAGCTGAGCCATCCTTGCATTCCATCACTGGCTCCCGCAGAGTCCTGCTGTGCGGCCCTTTCATGTGCTGCTACATTTGGCTTGACTGTTTTGTTCCTGTTGAGGCTTTGGCATCACTGTCCCTGAAGAAATATTGCCCTCAAATTTTCTTTTGTTGTAGGTTCCCTACACCAGACCTAATCCTTTTCCTATAGAACAAGCTCGGAAGTATTCTTCCCCTTCAGTTACTGGCAAAAGTTTGAAAGGGTTGATATTAGTTCTTCTTTATGTATTTAACAGTGAACCCCATCAAGTTTGGGGCTTTTCTCTGTTGGTAGCTTTTGATCACTAATCCAATCTCCTAACTAGTCTCAGGGCTTTTTCAAACCTTCATTTCTTTGTGCTTCAGACGTTGTAACTTTCATGGTTCTAGGAGTTTCCATCTGCTTCACCTTGGTTATTCGATTTGTTGGCATACAGCTCTCATGGCATTCTAATCATCTTTCCTACTTACACAGAACTGTTCCATTCAGTCGTACTTCTTTCTTCTCAGGGCTTTTGGGGGCTCTCGGAAGAGGCTTGAGTCTCCAGCTTTCTCTCAGGGTCGGGAGCCAGCCTCCTCTCAGGGCAGGTATCTAGAGGCAGATGTGCAGGGTCTCTGCCAACCCAGGGCACTGGCAAGGCTGCTATTTTGCTAGGCTTCCACTTCAGGAACAAGGAACAACCTGTGTCCTCAGAGACTGAGGCACTGAACACAGGGCTGTTTCCAAGGGTCTGTATGAAGAACTTGTTCCACCTAGTTCAGATGGGTTCTGACCTCCAGAGGTTTCAGTAAGGAACAGATTCTGTGTCACTCCTGGTCACTAATCCTTAGAGGATGACGTTCTTTTATTAGACGGTCTCTCTTCGCAGTAGCAAACCTAAGCCCTAGTGGTGTGTGAGTAGACAGGGTCACCAGGAGGAGACTAGTAGACTTCCCTGGGTCCCTGGGCTCCCATCACCAGGAGGAGACTAGTGGACTTCCCTGGATACCTGGGCTCCCAATTCTGGACCAAGCTCCTGTCCTTGATCCTGTGAGGTGGGACTTGATAAATATTAAGTTGAACTGATGACAGGCATAGCTTAAATATTCATCAGGACTCAGAGTCTGGGAGCTGAGGAAGGAGCACCCTAATATGAGGACCCCCAATATAGCCTAGTCTTCCAGGATGGAAGTTTACTCTGAGCATCGCCTGCTGGTGCAGCCATGGGAGAAACTCCAGTGCTCAGCCCTGAACTCACCCTCTGCTTGCGTAGCAACATTGTGGGTGACTGGGAGAAGTTACTGCTCGCTAGAATATGGGCTTTGACCATGCCATCTCATTTCCAGCTCTCCTGATCTTGTCCGACCCCTACAAACTCTAAGGTCCCCCTCTTCTTCCTTGGCAAAAACTGGGGGTGTTCATATCTCATTCTACCTGAAGGACTCCTCCCTGTTCGCTGCAGCTTGAAGGATTCTGTGGCCCCCTGCTAAGCCTGAGGCTTTTCAAGATTGAGAATTCACCTGGCTTCATCCAGGAGGCTGGCGACAGGACCAGCTGAGACAGGAGAACTGGGCTGACTTATTTGGGGCTTGAGATGGCCTCCTGCTCCTGCTGACCGAGCCTGCTGTTTCCACACTCTCAGAAGCAGTGGTTTTGGAGAGCTTGGGGCACTTGCAGGAAAATCTGTTGTTGCAAATGGCGAGCACCAAGACCCAACACGGATTGGGAGCTGAAAAACAGAGCTCTCCAAACAGGGCTTCTCCCCTGTTCCATTATTCACCCTCAGCCATGTTGAGGGTGTTATTTCCTAAACTTTATTTGGAGGAGAGGCACTAGGTCAAACGGCTGTCCCACTAAACTGATCCCCCAGCCACAGCAAAGGGCTGTTGTTTCTACTTCCTAATTACCATGCTTTTAAGTTTTGGTTTGAGACAGGGTGTCTATGTAGCTCTGGCTGTCCTTGAATTCGATATGTAGACCAGGCTGGACTTGAACTCATAGAGATCCACCTGCCTCTGCCTCCTAAGAGCTGAGAATAAAGGCATGTGCCACCATGCTTGGCTCCGATCACTGTGCTACTTTTGTTGTTGCTATTATTATTAATAATTTATATGTCCAAGTGTTTACCTGCATGTATGTATATACACCATGTAAGTGCTTGGTGCCCACGGAAGTCAGGGAGTGTGTCAGATCCTCCAGAACTGGGTTTTCAGACAGTTGTGAGCCATCACAAAAACCCAGGTCCTCTGCAAGAATAGTGAGTGCCTTTAAGCACCGAGTCCAGCCCCTCACCCCCCACCCTAAACCCAGTACCGCCACCCCACCCCACCATACTTCTTTGCTTTCAGAAATCATTTTTGCACCAGTTGGCATCCATGTCGAGCATCAGGGTGAGGGTGAATGAGTCTTGGTTAATGAAAGTACTGAATCCTCTCCCTGCTGAGCTGGTGACCCAGGTCACACAGTTAGAACTCCTGAGTCCTGTTTGGAGAAGGCCATGGAGAGGTGTCCTTTTGATATTTCCCCTTCACTGGTAAAAATTAAAAAAGACTCTATAAGCATAACCAGAAATTTAAATAACAACTATCATTATTATAAAATGAATACTTGCTACCTACTTCCTAAGCTAAGAAAATGAGCATTACTGGTCCTAAAATTTATCATGCCCTCCCTCCCTCAGTTCCATTATCCACCCTGACCTTTGGTGGATAAGCATCTTGGCTTTTGTGCTTATAGCTTCCTTGCTTTCATTTATCATTTTTCCTATATATCTATCACTAAGCAATATGCTGCAACATATTGCTTAATTGTTGGAGATTGAGGAAATGAGTTTATTAATGACTGAGAAACGCATCACTAGGTGTTTCATCATTATGTGAACACTGGTATGTGCTTATATAAATCTAGACCAGTTGGTGCAGCCTGTTATGAACCAGGGGTGTGTGTGTGTGTGTATGTGTACTATATATGTACATTTGTCACTGCTCCTAGGGCTATGGGGAACAAAAAAATATGAGATTAACTCAAAGAAAAGAGAAAGTGATTCAATCAAGAGAAGTGATAAACACATGTAAAAAGTTGTGCCCATGTGACATGGTATATGTATTACCAAGGGTGATGGCTGGCTTGTCAATTTTTATTTATTTATTTATTTATTTATTTATTTATTTATTTATTTATTTATAATGTATACAACATTCTGCCTCCGTGTATGCCCGCATGCCAGAGGAAGGCACCAGATCTCATTACAGATGGTTGTGAGCCACCATGTGGTTGCTGGGAATTGAACTCAGGACCTCTGGAAGAGCAGCCAGTGCTCTTAACCACCGAGCCATCTCTCCAGCCATGGCTTGTCAATTTGATTAATTTTTGAACCACCTAGGAGATGGTCCTCTAAACTCGCCTGTCAGGGGGGTTATCTGGATTACATCAATTGAGGTAGGGAGATCTTCCCATTGTGGTGCCCGCTGTGTCCTGAGTGCGATACTGGACCATATAAATGGGGGGAGGGAAGGGAGCGGCAGCAGGCATTCATTGCTCTCTGCTGACTGTGGATGCAGTGTAACCCGCAGGTGGATGCAAGCTCTGCTGCCTTGATTTGTCTGCCTCAATGGGCTGCACCTTGAACTCAGGTTCAGAATAAGCCCTTTCTCTCTGAGGTTAATCCTGTCTGGGCATTTTATTACAAAGTTAAGCAAACAAATAAAAAAAGATATTAAGCATTATCATTATTGGGTTCATTGTCATTAACAGGCATTGTGGTTTAAATTTAAAATGTCCCATCCAGGCTTAGTGTTTGAGAAGTTGGCTCTCGGCCAGCACTGCTATTTTGGGAGACTGTCAAACCTTTGGGATGTGGAACTTAGCTGGGGAAAGTGTACTAGAGTATGAAGGGTAGACTCAGAAGGTTGTGGGTCCCCCACTGGCTCCAATCTGAATTCTCAGCTCCCTGTTCTGGTCACCATGTAAGGTCACAAGCTCCTGTCACCATGGCCAGGAGCCACACTGTCATGCCATGAGATACTAAAATACCCTGATGCTCTGAGTCAAGACAAATCTTTCTTCCCTGATGTTGCTTCTGCCAGGCATTCTGTCATGGCAACCGGAAAAGTGAGTAATACAGAAACCTGGCACCAAGGAGTCGAGCTGTGGCTGTGACGGGCCTGACTATGTGGTCCATAGGCTTTTGAACGTGGATTAGGACAGGAATGTGGAAGAGCTCGGAGACATGGGGTAGAGAAGTCCCAGGGAGCTTAATGGGTCCTTTGGATAGATGTTTAGATCAAAATGCTGAGAGAAATGCAGACGGCAAAGACAATGCCTACGAGGGCTCAGACAGGAATAATGACTCCATCAGGAATGGAAACAGAGGCCATTTCTGTTCTATTAGGGTAAAGAACTTGGCAACATTCTGTCAGTGTCTGGAAAACATGGGTGAAATTGAATTTGAACGTAATGGATTAAATGGTTTGGTTGAAGAGATTTCAAGACAGTATCACACTCTGGCTGCAGCATGGCTACTACTTGCGGCTTTTTAGCTAGATATGCAGAGATCAGTTTGCAAACGGCACCGCAAAGAGATGTGGGAAAATGTGCAGGTTGGCCAAGAAAAGAGTGCACTTAGACCTGCAGACAAGTGGGTCAAAGAGAAATAGTTGTCAAGGAGACACCGTACAGTTTGTACCTGTGACGTCAGCAAAGGTGTTGAGACCTTTCCCACAGAATACCTCAGGCTGTACAAATATGAACACATTTGAAAGACTTCCCTTTGGAAAGAGTGTCTGGGAAAAATGGAACCTCGGGGTACCTTACTCAAACAAGAGAAGTATTTTCCCTGGTTTGACTGTGTAGGCATTTGCAAGCTACTGCAGCCGCGATCAGGCAGAGCCCCGAGTTGGCAGCAAAGCTTGGGATAATTTATCGGGTGCCAATTTGCTCCAGAAAGAAAGCCCGTGAAATCAGGTCATGTGTAGCAGGGTCGGATCCTCTGCACTCTGAGTGAACCTTACACGATGCTTTAAAGAGAGGCCTGAGCTGGAAGGCACCTCCAGGAGTCTGGAGATTCGAGGAACATGGACTGTCTCAGAGCGGAGACTGTACAAGAACAAGCCTGGGTGCTGACGGCATCAAGGCTGTAGGTACAGAGACCCAAACCTGTTGACCTCAGAGGGTTCCATCATGAGCCCCTATACCCTCTCTGCTCGGATGGGAACCACCCTGCCATGCCTTCTCAATCATGGTGGACCTCAGTCTCTGGAAGAGTGAGTCAAAACAGGTCCAGCGTCCCTTCAGCTGCTTCTGTCACAGAAATGTGAAAAGTAACTAATCAAAGGTTATGCATGCATAATCGTACATGCTATGCTTTCTACATGGGGTGGCAGCATAGTAATTTTGCCACCGGCACGACCATGAATATGCAAGCGACGTATTGCACTATGACATCATGGGTGATAATCGTCTGTCGCATGTGTAATCTGTTACTATCCAAAATGTTATATAGCATTTGACTGCACTTTGAAGACCAAGGGCAATTGCAAGAGTGGACTGCCTCATCTGGATGGAGGCTCCAGGAAGAGGTACCTGTAGATCAGTTTCAAGGTTACGGTCTCGCCTCTGCTTCTCTCACAGTAGCCAGAGAAGCTGCCAGCAAGGTCACCAGAGAGTCTTGGTGGGGAGTGGGGGTTGGGGAGGACTCAGCACAGCTGGGAGCCTGGGGGGGGGGCTGAGCTGTGGACTAGATCTTGGACACGTGGCTGAAATAGCCAGCAGGAGGGGCTTCCCTGTATCCTCTGCTCCTAAGATTACAGTGGCCTGTCTCCAGGACTTGAGGGGACACTGAAAACGTCTGTGGGTGACCTGGACATCCTCAGCAGAGTGGAAAGGGTGAGACCCTCATCAGCATCTGGTGACTGTGAAACTAATATTGTTGACAACCAGGCCAAGCTCTCCAGGGCCTCTGTCCCCAGTTGTCATACAACCAGATGGAGAGTAAGACGTGAAGACTGAAACTTCCTGGTTTCAAGACTTCCTCTAAATCGGCAGCGATCAGCGTTTGTGGTACTGGCGAAAGAACAAACAAAAAAGACCAGCCAGCCAGGAAGCAGACCCCACACAAACACGGTCAACTGGTCTCCAACAAAAGAACAAAAGCCACAGGATAGAGAATACACCACCTCCGCAACAAGTGATGCCAGGACATCTGGATAGTCTCATACAAAAAAATTAGCCTCGGGCTGGTGAGATGGCGCAGTGAGTAAAGGCGCTTGCGGCCAATCCCGAGATTCTGAGTTCTCTCCCCGGGACTCTCATGGCGGCAGGGAAAAACTGAATCCTGCAAGTTTCCCTCTGACCCTGTATGCATGTGCCCCCTCCTCCGCCACCACACTCAATGAAACGTTTTATAAAAGGAAAAACGGTGACTATCGACACAGCTACCACAGTCTTTACAAATATCAAGTCAGCTTGGTCTGTAGATCTAACTGTAAAACACAGACTTAGTAAACTCCTAGAAGAGAAGATAAAAGAAAACTCAGGCGATCTTGGTCTTTCCAGATCCAACACCAAAGACGTGCTCCTACAGAGAAAGAAGTAACGTGTGGGACTTCATGAAGATGGCCGTTTCTGCGTCTGAAAAGGCACTGCCCATCACGAGGACAGAAAGAGGAAGCGCAGTCTGGGGGTAGATGCCAGGTCGTAGTGCCTTCCCGGCCAGCCTCTGGGGTTTCGGAATGGGTGCCATTTGCTATAAGACACCTGGGCGTGCAGCGGCTGAGTCTCGCGACCTTCCCTAGTCTGTGGTCAGGGGTTGATTCCCTAAAGAGGGCAAATCAGCCTGTGCTGGAGACACAGACAACCACCGTTGCACCGCGCAAGGCTCACCAGCTCTCTTTTAGTGGAAGACCTTCAAGCCAGCTGCCCACGTCCACATAACTAGTGTATACAACTCGGGCATCCTGCAGCCTCACTCCTGCACCCATGCCAGCTTTGCCTCTGGGAGCAGGCTCCTTGTCTCAGGAAAGCCATATTCAGTACGCCTGCCACCAATGATCCGGGACTGGAAAGCTTTCAGTGCCTTAACAGCCGGAGAGATGGCTCAGCGATTAAGAGTTTGTACTGCCCTGACAAAGAGGATCCGAGTTTGGTTCCCAGAACCGACATCAGACAGCTCACAGTCACCTTTAAGTCCAGTTCCTGCGCTCTCTCCTGGCCCCTTTGAGCAGCTGGACTCATAAGACATGCCCATGTGCAGATTCATATACACATGCAATTAAAAAATAAAATAAGATATTAGTGGTGGTGGTGGCGCACGCTTTTAATCCCAGCACTCAGGAGGCAGAGGCAGGCGGATCTCTGTGATTCCAGGCCAGCCTGGTCTACAGAGCGAGTTTCAAGACAACCAGGATTACGCAGAGAAGCCCTGTCTTGAGAAACAAAAATATTAACAATTATTTAATTAGAATTAAATTATCGAAGAAATACAATATGAGCCACTAGACCGGAACATAGAGGGAGGAAGTGTAGACCACGTAC